AAAAAACATGTCCCCTAATGTTATTTTAATTCCAGTGAATTCCATGAGTGGGCAGAACAAGGAAATAAAGTGCACGAGGAAGCATGTTTGATATGATACATTGACCGCACTATAACAAAATGACCGTGTGCTCGCTGGGATTCTCTCTCAGCAAATATTGGAAAGCAAAAGCGCAATAGCCGTTTATCATTATGATTTCCAGGAGAAGCAGTATTAATATCTCAGCACTCATGCTCTGCTCGCTCTTACTTCTCCTCTAAAATTAAATTAGGAGGCTGCTGAAGTGAGAGACAGAGAGCGCAGTGAGGATGAGCGATGGGGGCTTTGCTATCAGATGTAAAAATCAGTAGCCTCGCCCCTCCAGTGGCTGTTGAAATATGATGAGCTAAAGTGGGAAATGGGAGTAAAAAAAAAAAAAAAAGACGGAGGCTGTTGAGTCGCTTCTGAGTGAAGAGAAAATAGAAACTGTATCCTCAGCAGAAGTGGCAGCCACTTTCAAACCACAGCGGCAGCAGCAGCGCCATTGGAAATGCATTAGAGGTGTCATGGCTGTATTTACAGTGGGGTGGCTGCACTTATCAGAATGGAAACTATTTATGATGGATTTATGAATAATGCATGCACTTAAAACATGACAAAAATCCAAATTATTAAATGACACTCCTCCTTGCCAAGCAAAAATGATTGAATGAATGCAATATTTCAGCAGATTTGACTTTACCCTTAAACACTGCCAACAACCCAAGAGATGCAGCGAGTCAAGTAAAGAGTAAAAAAAAAAAAAAGGTTGATGTTTTTTTTCAGAGAACTGTACATTTAGAAGTGAGAACCCCATCAGAAAATATCCAGCATAATCCCTGATGTGTCAGTAGCCGAGAGCAGCCTTCAGCTGAAGCGTTGCTCGACTAAATACGTATTCACAGTTATCTTATTCTGAGAAGTTTCCATCGTGGGTGCTGTCAGGATGCCTCGGTCTTAGTGTTGATGCAACATTTTGTGATACGACAGGTTATCAGAGAAACAGAGAAACATACAGGGAAAATGAAATGAAATTAATATTTCTGTATGATGAAACCCTTTTGTAGCTACGCATCCGTCCATCCATCGTCATCCCATCTGCACGTGACATCCACTTATTACTTGTCTGACTGAGATTCTCCTGTACAGACAGGGAAGCTTAAATTTCACTGTGATAGTCATATGAGGGGGAAAAAAAACCCAACTGAACATATCGACCGCTCTCTAATTATATGGTATACACCTATTGTTTAAGTCATTAGTGTCACAATCTGCCAATTAGAGCATCTATAAGTAATCACTTGTAGTCCCTGAAACCCCCCGACTTAATGTAAATGTACAGTCGTGACTGGATAATCAGACACTACATGTAATAACTTCTTTTATGTCAGATAGCAAGGCTGTCGGACTGTCAAGACGGATGTCGAGATACAAGGAGGGCTTGATGCCTGAAGGGTCATTTGTTGTTAATATTTATTGTTTACAGTTATTATAATAAATTGCCTATGTATGTGTTATTGTTATGATTTATATGATCATCAACTGATTGTCACAGAATAGGTGTTTTTATGAACTGTATTAATCTGTCCTGGGAACATTTCGGATGTTCTAGCTTGTACTGACACAGAACAAGTCAGATAATACGCTGTTATACTTATTTGTGACATAAAATGTCATGTCAGAGTCGGAATCCAAGGCTGTCGGTATGTTAAAACTATTTTCTATGGGTTCCGTTCGTTTTTCAAGCAAGGTTTAGGATTGTTAAGGGTCGGAATGTCAGGTCACGACTAAAGGCATACATATCTGGGTAATGTATTGGTGATAAATATACAGAGAGGTGCTGGAGGAACTGGCTTTAATGTCACTGATTGTCACATGCGACATCTATCAGATTTTAATCATCACACTCTGACATTTCTGCACCTCTTCTCTATCCAAAGAATCACTTCCTTCACACACTACCTCCATGTGCAATAAGCTTACTTTTAACTTTAACATCCATGAGCAAAGTCCGCAATGTGGATGCTCTTTGAAAAGCCCATTTTTTTATTCAACAGTCGTCCTGTTGTTGCCGAGGAAAAAACATAAAACACGTGCAGGCTGTTCTGTTTTCATTTCATCTGGACACGTGCCTCTGGACACTATTGGATATTGAATACGTTATTATGGTTCAACCAAGGAGGTGAGGCTGTGATTACAATATTCTGTTGTTGCTTTGTGCTTGTTTAGCTGCTTTTGTTTGTGCTCTTTTAAAGGGACACTTACCTAATGTGTAATTAAAAGGACCTTGACCCTCACCCACTTACCAGCTTTCCCAGTTCTCGCTGAGCGGCTGCAGCTGAGCGGCGCTCCCACAATCAGTCCATAATTAACTGTTTCAACAAGGGTTTAATTTCATATAATAGACCCAACTGGAACCCCTTTACGCCGCATTACAAAATGGCCTGCGATGTGCCCTGTGGTGGTAGTAAAGGCTATGCTGTACATATGTTCAAGAATTTTATTACCATAAAACTGTTTCTGCAGAAGAAATCTGCATTTATCTGCAGGCAATTTATACATTATATTGCACTTTACTCACACATTATATAAACCCTTTTTTAAAACACGCTCGTCATTGAGAGATTAAAATAAAGATATCCATTAAGTCTCTTTAACATTGGGTCTTTAGTGGCCAGGGTTTGTATTTCACCCTGTAAATCAATTCATAAAATCAATTAAGCACAACTTACACTGATTTTGATGTCAAAATGTCAAATGATGAGGTTATTTTTCTCTAAAAAGTTTACTTATAATCTGATATATGTTTACAAAGAAGAAATCCATCTGATCAGGCTTTCAGCTACAGTTTGTCAGACTAATCAGGATGTTGCTGATGGCAGCTTTGGCTGTGTTTTCAATCAATCAATCAAACTTTATTTCATACAAAGAAAGCAACACAAACTGCTTTATGCAGATTCTTCTGTTCTCTTTTGTGTTTACTTATATTTTTTCCAGACTGTATATTTTTAGCGTATTATGTGTGTAGCTTACATGTTTTTTTTTTGTATGTATGTTTATTTTTCAACTTTGTGTTTTTCTTTAAATGAGGGTCTGAGAGAAAGACAAGTTCAGTTCTCTGTATGTGTACACGTGTAGCAGAACTGACAATAAAGGAACTTTGACTTGACTTTACAACCATTAAAATCAAGAAAACCCATACACACACCCACACACCCTCACCACTGACAGTAGGGAGACATGGCATGGCACTGAGGATTGTGGGAAACACTTTTAGGTGGGAACATGGTGTGGCTATGATCCGTTTAGCTAACCTTGTGGTAGACGACTACAGCTCCATAGTAAATCCAACCACTAGCAAGTATCATTTTAAAAGGACCTGCCTCATTCTTAACAGTTTCCTGTTTCTACATGTTTTAGATTGTTCTCTGTGTCAAACCATCTGCTGCATTCAGTTCGGGGTGTGTGGGAGTGTTTTGGTCACACTATGCCAGATGCAAGTGATTGCCGGTAATGCCTGTTTGCAGTTTGACATCATGGCAGTAACACTGTCTCACTGTCACTTTGAATAAACACACACACAACGATGAAGGAGTTCCTTTCTGTTAGCTGCACCTGCATGTCTGGTTTAGTGCAGAGCTGCGTTTTACGTGGAGTCCACTGATGGGGAAATTGTTTACTGTGTCCTTTATGTATTGTAAAGAGGGCTGGAGAAAATATACAACTCAAGTACGGTCCCAGGAGATGTTTGAGAATGCAAAAAAAAAAATAGTGATGAACGATATATCGGCAACCACATCGGTATCGATATTAGTGTTTTTCCGATATATCAGTATCGGCATCAGAACAAATTTTGCCACTGCTTGTCTAACATCAGCGCCTTCGCCTCTACATTTGATATTGCTGCTATTTCACAGATGTTTTTACTTAAATGTTCCTGGACTTGAATGTTAAATATGTTTAAATATGTTTTACTTTTGTTACATCATAAAGAAGACTATGTGGTCTAACTTGGTATGGGCTTCTTTTGAATACTTTTTTACGTTCTCACAGTGCTTACTTATACTCATTTTTTGGTGTGATCAAAAATTGACTATCAACATCGGTAATATCAGTTATCGGCGATATCTTAAAAGAAAAAGAAATCTTAATACCGGTATCGGCCAGAAATTTTAATATCGTGCAAAACAACATCCAAACTACCTGCTACTACAAATACACAAGTGGTTTTTCAGGCCAAATTTTTAAGTTGGAAATGCAAAAAAATTGTTTGATAATAAGTTTGTTCTAAATTTAAACCACTTTAGCCAAGAAACTTCCACAAAAGCCCTGGGTACGCCACATCTGTTCCGTCATCGGAAGACACAACCATGTTGCTCTAGCCGTAAGAAAGTGACTGTGATTACTGTGTTGACTAATTTGTGTTTGGTTTATGTCACTCGATGAGAAGTTACAGTGCCATATGTGCAAGACAACTCAGTGGAAACATGAAACATAGTCCACCGTGAAACCTATTAAAACAGACAGAAAATAAATAAACATTTGATGTGTTTGTCATTCAGAACATCGCATTCTGAAACGTGGAGAACAGATACGATTTCAACATGCTGCTTGGTTCGCACAGTCGCTGGGTTGCTAAAGATCCAAGGTATGCAGGCTGTAATGCTTAAAACGCCCACGCAGCTCAGGTTTAAGCATCAAAGATGATAGCATTTGCCAAGTCTGATCAAAAGATGGCAGTCTGCCAGTTAATCACATAGCTGATCAAAAATGAAAATTAAAGTACCCAAGCTGTTATGATGAGCGGCTAACCTTGATGTGTCATATTAATTACAATGTGATAAATAATTGATAGCTGATGGTGCTGTTTTTTTTTTTTTTTTTCACTCTGCGGAGACCCGAGCAAGGTTTCCTTCGGCATAAATAAACAATCAGTAATAACAAATTATATGTATATAATGAATGAGCACAATGTGATTTACCTTGAGAGAGGACCCACTGATTGAGTTTGACGTGGTACAGCACCGAGCGCAGACTCCAGTGCTGAACGAGCGGGTAGCCAGACACCTCGCTGTAGTTCACCATACCTGCAATATCAAAAAAAACACACTGATGAATACAGATGCGGCCCCTGGTTCTACGTTCAAGCGTGGTTCAAGGAAGTCCACCGCCACACCTGCGAAACCTATACCGAGAAACTATAATATTAATGTGTTATTTACTTCTCCATAGCGGAGGAAATTGCCGTCTTCTGCTGCTAGATCAAAGGGTGGCCCTACGTTTCATTCTTGTTTACTTTACCTGAAGAATCAAGAAGGAAATTTAATAAATATTAATACTATATTAAATGACAGGAGAGAGAAGCAAGCAAAGTATCCGGCGTTGGATCAAAGAGGAGCCCGATCTGGCGGCTCACTTTCCACAAAATAAAAAATAAAAAAACAGGAAATCGCAACATTAACGTAAAATCTATTCAGACATGGTGGAACAGCAGAAGGCAGCAAGTGTTCAGTGTTAGATGAAAGCGAAAGTCAACATCTTGCTTGAATATACAGCACATTTATATTAAACATGGGTATTTTCATATCAATCACTCGCTAAAGATTCATCCAACTTTTTCCATCATGGCGTCGACCTTTAAACAGGTTTTGTCATTTTCTGAGACATTCAGTATTTATAGCTCAAAGTTCCTTCACTGAAAATGATCAGATGAAACTAAGCAAAACGTATTTTAAAAATGTAGTTTCTGACACCTCACCGATGTTTATCAAAAAAAATCCCATGAAAAGAGACGCATTCCTGACCCTTAATAACATAAATCTGATAAATTTAGTTATTTTCCTGATATTCACTTTTATACCAACGTCAGAATTATGTAGTGATCGACAAGGAAAACAGATAAAGACTCATAATCACTCATAATTAACCTTGCACAAAAAAAGGACAATATTCTATAATTCAGGGTGCTTAATTTTTATGACCTCTCGAATTTCCCACTCAGACAGTGTGACATGATTTATGCATAATTAGCAGTGATTAAGCTGTCACGCCCTACACTCAACACAACAAAAAACTCTCTTCCTCTCAGGCATAAAATGAATGAGGTTGCATCAAATAATTACTTTAGTTACCAACAGTCCACACCTCACACATTTAATGCATAGTGACGGAAAGCTGATGTTTAAAATGCTGGATGTAGTGAATGATATGACCTATGTTAGCCCCAAAAATGGTGCCGAATTGATTCAAATTTTTCAGGTTAAATTTCTAACAACTACATCTGGTTCTGGCTTGATGAAATACATCGATTCTCTAATCGCCAATGTAAACCAATCTGTTTTAAATTCTTGTGTCTCTGCTTCTTAACATTGTTTAAAATAGTTTCAGGTTTTTCATGTTTAGACCGACATTTGCACACAGCTAAACATCCTCATCAGCAGGTTACATAAGCTCAAAATTATTAATTAGGGATGCACGATATATCGGTGACCACATCGGTATCGGTCGATATTTGTGTGTTTTTGCAATATATCGGTATCAGTCCGATGAACAAATTTAGCTGATGTGAAAAACCGATGATTGTCTGACATTAGCGCCTTCGTCTCTACATTTGATATTGCTGCTATTTCACAGATGTTTTTACTTAAATCGTCCTGGACTTGAACGTTGCATATGTTTAAATATGTTTTACTTTTGTTACGTAGCACAGAAGACTATGTGGTCTAATTTGGGCTTCTTTTGAATAGTTTTCACGTTCTCACAGTGCTTACTTATACTCATTTTTCGGTGTGAACAAAAATTGAATCTCGACATCGGTAATATCGGATATCGCAATATCAGAAATCTTAATATCAGATATCGGTATCGGCCAGAAATTTTAACATCATGCAACACCAGTATTAATGGTATTCATATTTGCCAAATTTACCAGAACAAGATCAACAGAGCAGTAAAAATAAAAAATGAACAGTTTAAGCTGCATAACACTGCTCAAGAGGAAATGTTAGATGATGTTTAAACTGTAATCCATCATGCAGTACTATCAGGGAGGAATCTGATTGGTCAAAAATATATTCTGATTCATTGCAATGAGCCTAAACCCACTGAAGAACTGTGGAAAGTACTTCATTATGCTTAGAGCATCGTTTTGAAGCGAAAAGGTTCTTATGCCAAATACTTCTTTTTGTTTGCTGCACTGTATATGATATTAACTGATAAACCTAATCATGGCAATACATTATAAAAGCAGCCTCGGTTTCTGTGCTTTTAATTTAAGTACAGAACTGCATTTAAAGTAGCTATGATTTCCAGCAATAGCGTACTGAATGATGATATCAAAACAACGTAAAAGGGGTCTCACACAGAATTATCATCCCCTTTTCTGCTTAGTTAAAACTGAGTTCAATTCACCATTTAGATCAGATTAGATAATAGCCAGATCACCAGATGGTAGAGACCAAAACCAGACCAAAAAAAAAATAAATTGAGAATATGAAGTCTCCTGGAAGCCAGAAGTGTAACTCCAATAGCGCTAATGTAGTTTAATGTGCAGGTTCCTCTTGCTAATATGTTTAACATTAGAGGGTGATAATGTGTCAGTGCTGTGGTCACAACTTGGTTTAACATAATGTATGCTGCTTTCATTTTCAGGTTTCAGCCTGTGAACGTTAATTAGGCTGCCATTCAAAGCTCAGCAAGGTAATGAATGCTGTGATACTGTGCAATGCTAAATCATTATAATTGATATTGGATTCAAAAAGCAAATTTGACATTGAATTTGAATGTGATAAATTCTTTTTAAACTCCAGACCTTTATCTGACTAATCAATTAATACAAAAAAAACTCTGTATTATTATTACAAATTGGTATTTAATGTGTTGGTTCCACTGCAGATCTATGGTACGCTTTCTATAAGATGTAGCGCACCTCGTAAAGACTTCAGTGAAGCTATGTAACAATAGTGGCGTCATATTTTTCTTGTTGCCTTTGCACAGCGTTCCATTGCACAGCGCAGTATATTATCTATATCGATTTTGTCTCATTTAGCAATCCCTTCCCTGCTGAAATCAATACTGCCCATCTCTCCTGCCTGAAGAAGTCACCCATGTACGAATGTTTTTCATTTTGACGCACCGCATGGTCTAGCAAACGTTACGAATGCTCGGCGCTCCTACTGCCCACCGTCTTATCCATGGCAACAAATAGTCAGTGTTAGATAAAGCGCAACATGCAGACATGTAGATGAGCCTGCGACGGCACATACGAGGGAGAGAAAACATCCATCACTCACCGCAGGGGGAGAGACCTCGTTGGTCTTAGGCAAGCAAATGCTAAAGAACCAATAAGTGCCTGTTTTAACAGATCAATTATAGATACGGCATGAAGTGATGCAGCACAGATTGTTAGTGAACATGACGTGAAGTGAATAAATAATCTCACTACTTAACCCTTTGGGGATTGGGTGCATATGTTTTTTTGTTTTTTTTTAACCACAGCGAAAACAGTCTAATCAGTGGAATGACCTCTCCATTTCTGCATAAGAGTGCAGGATCGGGCCTTTTAACATCGCTTATATCAGACCATAAACAGAGCTGCGGAATATAAATCATGTAGTCTCCCATGGCAACTGACAGCCGTGTCATGCTGCAGCGGTGGGATTACAGCCATACATCACTGTGACTGCCCCCACCGTGTTCACACGCAAAAAGGTATCTGGATAATGCCGGCCACCGAGACGCGCATCCCGCAACCGCAGACATGGAAGAGAAGGAAAATGAGACGGAGGCAAAGACAACAACTGTGTGTGCGCACACATGGGAGATTTGACTGGGTGTGTAGGAGAGAGATTAATTGAGACATGAGAAACAATGAAAAGGAGGGAGCAGCAAAGGTGCATCTACTGCATGAAAAGGTGAGAGGGGAACGATGGATGATGAATAAAGAGAAAGGAGTTCTGTCATCTCTGGTGAAGGGTGGCAATTTGCACGCATGCCACACAAATGAAGACGCATCAGCAACCAATGTGAATAATTTGCGATGCGTGTTTTGGAATCCTGATTGGTGGGGACGCTGTCGGTCTGTCATCGGAGAGGTTTCGACGATGGCGTGCCCTTAAGTGAGGAAGGCATCTGAGACATACGGCCAGGAAAGTGCAGCACAGCTTCAAACTTCTTTCTTTTCTGTCTTTTACTGAATTGCACCATTTGAAACAGGTGGATTCACAGTGCCATGAGACAAAGGCTCCCCCTGACCCACAACTACGACAGAAAACCATACTGACATCCACCATCCTCCACCATTATGGTTCCAGACACAGGTGGCATCTACAACCAGGGCAAAGGATTTAACATACATTAGGTACGATGATTCGAAGTTACTTTTACACAGTTCTCCCAAAGAGCACATGAATAGCAGTTCCCCACTAAGACGTCTTAACCCGACTTAAAATAAGCAACAAACAAAACAACTTCACTCACTCGACTTGGTTTGTTCCAGGGAGGAACAAACGATCAGACACTAGAAGAAAACATGGTCAACAAAACAACCAAATAAAGAAATTCAGTTCATGTGTCAAGCAGCTAAATGTGACCCATCCTTAGCAGAACATATCATTAAAAAGAATTTTAAAAAAAACAGCGACTGAACTTAAGTTGTGTTTGAGTTCATTCGGGTATGTCTTTGGGAGTGTGTTTGTCGGAGCAGTGCACCTGTTTATTGAGGGGATGCCTGCAGATGCCCCACACTGAGGAGAAACCTGTTATTTAATGTCATGAACGGCAGCCAGAAGCCATGAGGTGATCTCACCATTTGAACTGTAGCTGCAATGAAACAAATGAATAGAAACTGGTGAGGTATTGAAGATGTAGTTCATCAAATGAGAAAATTACGCCCGGTTTTCAATCCGGTTGGGCTGTTTTCATGTAGACATTATGCAACCTGAATCCTGCACAAAATTACTACTTTAGATTCAAGGAACCTTTTCTCATGATTAAAATAATTAAAGAAGTAGGAGACAAACAACTTTAAAACATTTTTTTCAGACGGCCCTGTGATAGACTGGTGACCTGTCCAGGGTGTCCCCTGCCT